CCCGAGGTGGGGCGCCGGCTGGAGCGCTGGCTGTCTCGGCTCCTGCTCTGGGCCAGCCTGGGGCTACTGCTCGTCTTCCTGGGCATCCTCTGGGTGAAGATGGGCAAGCCCTCAGCGCCGCAGGAGGCGGAGGACAACAGTACGTCCTGGGCCGGCGCAGGGGAGGGCCCTGGGGGCGCGTGTGTCTGCCGGACGACCACCTGTTCCTGTCGGCGCCAGGCCGTGCACTTCCAGCCTTGTCGGCAGCCTCTGACTGTCTTCTCATTTCCAGGCCTGCCTTCTTCCAGCTGTAGGAAGAGAGGGCCAAGGCTCCTGCATCTGCAATAATTTCTGCTTTCACTTTCTCCTGTTCTCCTTTTCTGCCCCAGCCCTCCCTTCTAACGTCTCCCTTTGAATCACAAGCTCCCCCAACCTCTGGTTTTCTCCCTGGAGAGGAAGCCACACCCTTCTCTAACAGATTCACCCCATCCCTTTGGGTTCTTCCCGTTTGACCTCTGGCTTACTCACACATTTTGTGCCTGTTTGAAGGCACTCCAGATTTCACTGACCCACAGATAGGATCTTGTTGGGGGTCCCAGCTTTGCAGCACCAAAAAGTCCACTCTCCACTTCTTTGAACCACAGGGCCGCCGCTTTGTCAACAGGAGAATCTACCAGCCTTGCTTGCCAGACAGGTTAAACTGATAGCAACGGGAGGCATTTACCATTGCTTGTAGCACCCTCATGGAGTGTGTTGAGAGACTGTGACTCAAGGATGCTCACAGCCATCCTTCTGGCCACACTTAAGTTACATGGTTAGATATGCCAATGAGAGGTCTTCAGGGTACAGTATGTATCCGGAATAGCTGAGGATTGTGTGTTTCCTGAAAAGAAACAAAGATCATTTCACTATACATTTAGGTATAAAGGGCCACTGTAGTTCACCAACTTTTAATACTCTTTACAAAGCACAAATGTGAGTAATACTGTTCCCAGCTTCCAGCCAAGGCCACATCCTTCCATGCCTAGCAGGAACTTCCAACATACAGGAAAAAGCTAAAGTATGTCTTAGCTGGTGTGGCAGATGGATGTTTGGGAGTGTACAAGTCTGTGGGCAAGGGTATCAACAGACTTGTGTGCAGACACCCAAATGATTTCTCCACTATGAGAGCAGTTTATCAACTATGTGAATAGTTTGTCGACCTGCTAGAGAAATTAAGCAGACCTGGGAGTGTCATGGTACTATAACTACACTGGTGATGTCAAACAGTATCACACTGGTACTCACTGCTGAGATGTTTTAAGACAACAGTGCTAGAATATATGCTGGTATCTACCCGGACTTCCCCTCCTATTATGGTGTTAATCTCTGTTTAACGTATCATTGTTTTCAGTTTACAAAACTGTCCTGTATTTTGTTTTGTTTGGGCCTAACTTCCTGAGTTAAGCAGGGAAGGCCCATTTGATCCCATTTTACAGATGAGGAAACAGAGATTCAGAGTGGTTGAGTTGCCCAAGAACCTTGAGCTAATCATTTTCAGCTGGGACAAGGACCCAGCTATCTTAATTCCTAATCCAGGATTTGGATACCCTTACATTTTGCTGTCTGCATTTTAAAAGTGCCTTCCTTAGATGACATCTTTCTAATCACCACCCTTGGCTTGGTAATGCTTTAGTCCCCCCGAATGTTGTGAATAGTCTCTTTGTATTCCTTTCTCAACCCACACTTAATTTCCTGTGTTTCTTTTCTTGGTCTCAGTGAAGTTATTGCCAGTGGACTGTGAGAGAAAAACAGATGAGGTGAGTTTGAGTTTCTCTGGCTTTTATTATTCCTCCTGAGGATATTAGCCTCCATCAGGAGGTAAACTTCCCCAGAAAAAGAATAGGATCATTTTCAAGGAGTGCTTCCTGTAATGTACCAGAGTCACATTGTGTTCTGTGATGTTTGTGTCAGGCTCAATTGTGGCAGTGAAGGAATACTTGAAATAGAATTGACCTCCCAAAATCCAACCCTGGGCTTGTTATGGACGCTTTCCCATCAAATGTAGCATTTTCTTCTGCCTGAGTCAATCTAGGGGGATGCAGTAGGTTGTTGTTGAAGGACTCCTCAAGCTCCCTGGCACGGGGAGGAAGGGCTGGCGTTTCTAAGCATCAGGAGGCCAAGTTCTCAATTCCACATTCTCTCTCTCTGGTGATGCAGCTGTGGCTCTGAAAATGCTGTTCTGATTTGAAACATAGGGAGTTTGTTTGGAACACATCTTAAGTAGAATTAGCCCTCTTAGTCCACATTTAGATTTGCTTTATGAAGCTCTAATATTTCCTACAAATAATATTTGGGGATGAGCAGCCCCATCCATTTATGAATCATGAAGGCAGCATTATCAAGGAGCTGGGATGCTGGTTCTGGTGACAGTCTGGAGAAGATATGGGGCAGTAAATTTTCAGGTCATAAATTGTACCAGTCTTGTGCTGCCAGAGGGCATGACTTAGTAGTCTAATTATTAAGTGTGCAATGCCTGGCCTCCCGAGCCCTTAGTTAACATCTCTGGTAGCCCAGGGGCTGGGAAAGAAAATGACGCATGGTCCTCTGGCCACCCCTGCATTGACTGTCTTACCCATGTAAATGGGGGGACATCCTGGTGCAGATAACCACTTTTATTTCTCTTTGGCTTCTGGTGTGTCATAGTTTGGGGTGTTTTATTACATACATTTATTGCATTCATCCACCAAATATCTTTGCTTCCCAATTGTTTTGTAAAAGCAGATTCATAGTAAGTGTAATCTGCCTTCTATCATAAAAACTGTAGTTGATGATGAGAGGAAGTGGCCCAGAAACATAGGCAGCCAGAGAGGAAACTGGAATTTGAAGACTTAAAACAAAAACAGGAAAAAATAACATTCTGTAAGACTTCTCAGTGTTATGAGTTTTGTTTGTCTTTTAATTAGAAAATGGTTCCATGGTTTCTATTTCTTGGTCCTTCTCGTCTCTAAATTAATCAGACCCACAAGTGAATGGCACATTTGTTCCCTGGCCTTCTCTGATCTGGACACACTCAGGCCCCGCTTGAGTGAGCCCAGACAGGTACCCTCCAGGTCCTCGCTACAGATGTGCTCTGTGGACAGACAGCATTCAGCACCTGCCAGCGAGGGCTTCAGATGCAGATATTCCTATTTGTAACCATTCAGATCTTCATCAGAGCATCAGAAAGCAGGGGCTGGGCCATCTCAGTGTAGGCTTTTTGGAGCTGAGATTTCATGGGGCACCCTTCGCCTTTCTGGAGGGTGGACACAGGAACAAGCAGGTGGGGACGTGTTTCTTGGCTTTGGTGAGGCTCCTGCTGAAAGTCTTATTCTTTGCATAGCTCCAGGCTCACGGAGATCGCAGACGGGCATTTGAATTTCAGATTCGTGTTCTTTCCCTTTTCGGCCGTTGAAGACAGTGACACTTTGTGTTTTTCTTTCTGCCTTTGTGCTGCCGAAAACGTGGGGACAGGCTGGGAGTGGGTGTGTTGTCTTAATCAGGCCGTCTCGTTGTCTGGTACCGTCTGTCCTCCTGTTTCCTTTAGGTGGTAGCAGCCTCTGCTGAGTGGTTTGTGTGAGTTCGCATGGAATCCTACCACAACCCTTACTCAGATGAGGGCCCTGAGATTCCACCTAAAGGGAGACGAGGTGGCAGCTGCTGACATTCTGCCCTGTCTGCAAGCTCTCCCAGCTCTTCCAGCTCTCCCAGCTCTGCAAGCTCCGACAGCAGTTGCTCTTCCGTCTGAGGAAGCTGAGTGACTGCATCATCCCCCGACCACGTCGCCTCTGCTCAGCCCTCTTACTGGCTGTCATTCCAAGGGAAAGGCAGGAGCCAGGAGCCTCCAGTGCAGCCCCTTGGTTACAGTGTCTGCTTTCAGCTCTGCCTCTGCTTCTCCAGGGTCTTTCTCAGGCAGTTAGCCCAATATTTATCAAATCTCTCCCTGGGCCCAGCACTTGGCAGAATTTGTTTCTATTTTGTAAAAGTATGAGATGTTCCTTGCTGCTTAGTATTTGACAGTGTGGCTGGAGAGGTAAAGATGGACAGACAGACCTCTCCCACCCACCCCTCCTTGCTGACCACTTGTCCCGTGCCTTTCCAGTTCTGTCAGGCCAAGCAGAAGGCAGCCTTGCTGGAGCTGCTGCATGAACTCTACAACTTCCTGGCCATCCAAGCTGGTGAGTAAGTCACATAAGTCCTGAGATGCCTCTTGTGAGAGCTATGGGCGGCTGACCCGGTTCATCAGGCTGGTTAGTTACACTGTGGCTGGCAGGCGAGACCCTCCCTGGTTGTCTCCCAGAAGGCATATTCAGAAGCCAAGTCTCACCTTCTCGCCTCCCCACTCAGGCACATCTTTTATAAGCCTTGTGTTTGAACAAAACACATTTGATTCTTGCTCCTCTTTAAGGGAGGTCCTGGCCTGTGCACAGGCCTTCCTGCAGCTGTTCTCCCTTCTTGGGGATGCCCAGTACCTAATGCTTTGGGGGTCCGTGTTGGTGTGGGAAGGGGCCAGGCCCCAGGTGTTGTCAGAATCTATGTCCTCCCCCCAGAGGGACCCTCTGAACCAGATGGTTGGCTGGGCCAGGGAGAGGCCTCTTGCCTGTGCAAGTAGCAGACAGTCTGTGTGGTGGGCCCTGGTGTCACATCTGGTCCTGATCACCATCTGGCTGTCGGACCTCGGACAAAGTCCCTGATTCTCAGTCTTCATCTCCCTGTCCGACCAAGGGCTCCTGGGTCCATCTGTTCTCTACGAATGAGAGTCAAGTGCTGTCCTCTAAAAGAGGGCATTCTCAGCACCTCTGTGAAATGCCCCTGAAAATGCATCCAGAAGATGCATCCCCTACTGTTTTATTTGGTGAAGTTATTCCTTGAGGCCAGAGATATCACCTGCGTTATTATGTCCTCCCTGATGGCTGGCATCCAGGAGGCTCTCAAAATCACTTGCACCTGACATAGGTGAATATCAGCATATGCGCCTTGTGTTAAATATGCTGGACACAAGAACCAGACAGAGCAGTTGTATCTTAAGGGATATTCAAGAGGCGCCTCTTACCTGTGGGGTCAGAGGACAGATCTTAGGATTGTGAGGTCAACCCTTGTCTAAGGTTTCACTAGGAAATTGGGGTCAGGTGGACTTCTCCTGGGCCCTCAGTCCTCAGGGTCAATCTCATGAGCATCAGCTCTTCTGCCTCCTTCCTCTTGAAAGTGAGAGATTGAGATGGCAGGGGAGGTATTCATGAGCACTTGGAGGAGAAACAGGTACTGGGGCTCCTGCTCACAGCATCATAGGAATTCCTCTGTATGGCCCAGGTGCTTGGGATGTCAATTCTGACCAAAGAGGGTGTTCCAAACCTTTGTGTCTCAATTGTGGTCCAAGGACCCATAGCATCCGCATCACGTGGGAGCTCACTAGAAATTCAGAATCTCAGGTCTCATGCCAAACCCAGTGAATCAGAGTCTGTATCTTAAGATCCCCAGGGGATTTGAGTGCACCCTGAAGTTGAGAAGCTCTGCTCGAAATTGGGTCCTAGTAGATATTTCTCCTCCATCCCACCCTCCATATGTGATCCTGCCTTATGCCCTCAAGGGTCCTGGCATCTGTTGCCCTCTGACAAGCCTGGGGGGCCGCCTTGAAGGTACATATCTCACTGAGACAGGAGTGTGCCTCACAGAGGCTCCTTAGTAGTCCTCAACCCCTCCCCGCCTCTCCTGTTAGGGATCCGCTGTGGGCTGGGCACTGTGCAGAGCCTTGCAATGAGATGACTCAGCTCCAGGTCCTGCCTGCAGGGTGGTTGGGGTCTACTAGAAGAGACAGGCCACCTACCTCCCTGACCACTGGGTGATACAAAATGTGATTAGACAAGAACCAAGAGGTCAGAAGTTCTGGGAGGCACAATGCCTTTTAGCTGGAGCAGTCAGGAGAGCGTCACAGGGGAGATGGCATCTGTGCCAGGCCCTGAAGCCCAGATAAGACTGGTTATGTGTATGTGGGGAAGGACAAGGCAAAGCGGTAGGAAGTTATATCTCGGGTGGGAAGCAGCACCTTCATGGAGGAAGGGGAAGATGAGAGAGTGAAGTCTGGAAGTGTTGGTTAGGCCCCACCATAGATGGCCTTGGATGCCAGGCCGCCAGAGCTCAATCTGGCAGGCAGTGAGGGCCAGAGAGGCTTTGAGCAAGGGAGTATTGTGCTGAGAGCCAGGTGCCAGGAAGACGAATGCGGCAGCAGCTTGAGTAGCGCAGTGTCATTTAAGCAGAATCATTTTCAAGCGTTATTGACAAAACAACTGGATTGGAAAGGGGAGAGGAGGAACCGAATCGGGAGGCCATTTACGTGGTCCAGGCAGGCCTGGCAAGGGCAGGAAGAGTCCTGGTGGAAATGGGAGGATGCTAGAAGCCACCTGTATCTCAGGGGACCCCTTGGGTCAAGATCAACTTTGAAGTAGGAGGATTTGGCTGTGTTTGGGGAGGGGGACAGGCTTCAGTTCAGTTTCAACATTTTAAAATATGACCTTCAGCTTCTCCCTTCCCCAGCATGCAGAAACACAGACACTGGCCACCCGAAGTCCGCCAGGCTGTGCTGGGTCAGGGCAGTCAGGTCATGCACACATGTTAAATAGCGTGTGCGTGCCTGGCCCTGGACCCTCCCTGCTCTCAGGGAGTCAGGCAAACCACAGCACAGGAATAAGGACCAAGGGCTGTGGCAGGTCACTAAATGTGGGGCCATTTCATCAAATGAAAGGCCCCTAGGGGCTGAGGGCTTCCTGGAGGAGATGGCCCCTGGGCTGGACCCGGGAGGTTGGGCAGGACTAAGCGGGAGGCTGCCAGCTCTATCCTATGGGAGCAGACCTCCAAAGCCATTCGGGAGAGCTGCCCCTTGGTGTGCCGTGCTGAGGCCCCACTGCCCAGCACGCAGACATCTCTTCCTCCAAGGGGCCCCTCAAGACAATAGACCTGGCATTCTAGGTCGCCTGCCTGTGTCATGAGTCAGAATCCCCGTGGTGCCCATGGCCTCCCTGCCTGCCTTTTTTCTCAGGCTGTGTTTATTTATAGTGCCATTCTGGTACCTTCCGAAGCTATCTGTCTGATCCTTTTAGGGATCAATTGCAAAGAGACCTTGGTATTGGGCAGCTTTTTAGTCATTTAATGCAAATCGCCACACTGCTTTGCAGGTCAGGTTTTAATGATCTGGAATCGATCCAAGCTAAGTGGCTTTTGATCTTGCTGCAGAGTGAAGATGCCCCACAGAAGCCAGGAGCTGCTGGGCCACATGCTCCTTATTAGAGCTGATGGCTTGATTCTTGCTGCATGTTTTAGTCTGTTTCAGAGTGATTTTTCCTCTCTGTGTTTGAGTGTGTGGTTTTTTTTTCTCCTAGGTAATTTTGAGTGTGGAAATCCAGAGAATCTGAAAAGCAAATGCATTCCTGTTATGGAAGCCCAGGAATATATAGCGGTAAGTAGGCTTCGGTGCTTATCCATTCCTGGGAGGGCCTGGTGCTTTCCTATTGGTCTTTCAAGCCCTGTTGGGGTTTTTGTTTTTGTTTTTTTGTTTGCTTTGTGGCTTTTGTACTAGGCTACCTTAAGTTAAGGTTTGGTTTATGGCTTTTTGTGCTAGGCTTCCTTAAGTTAAGACACCCATGGTAGTGACTGCCCCAGAGCCAGGCCATGTGTAGTGGGGCGGCTCTCCTGACCTGCTGCACTGTAGGTGTGCCTGTTACCTGCTTCTCCCTTGGTTCACTTTGGTCCTCTTGCCTTCAGCTTTCAGGAGAAACATGCTGTCCCTTCTCTCCCTTATGATTACCATTCATACTGCCAGGGGGCCGTTTGATTTCCTGTGTGGCCTCAGGATGGTAGATATAGAACTATGGAGCTGGCATTCCAGGTCGCCTGCCTGTCCAGTAACTTAGGGGTCATCTGGTTCCATTTGCATTTCACAGATGATGAAACAGGCCTGGAGAGGGTCAGGGACTTGCCTGAGGCCAGACCACTTGCACCGGCCACTGGGCTCACCCACTGCCAGCCCCAACCCTGTTATTCGCTTTACCCCAAGATGAGCTGCCAGCTCTCTGGCCTGATGCTTCCGTCCTCAAGAGAATCATATTCTTTTGGCCACCTCAGACCCACATTGTTTTCCTGCTTGTGTTTCCGCATCACCTCCTTTGGTTATAGCTTCTTCCTTGGCTTTCATCAACCCCATATTTCCTTCCTGCCAGTTTGCTGTGCTTTTAGCAGAGTGGGGTTTTGGGGCTGTGGAGGACACGGGAGAGGGCTTCCTTAATCCAGCGGCAGAATGTTGTTCCAGCTGCTCCACCTAGACGCAGAACTAATCTTCTCCCGCGCCCTCCCACAGAATGTGACCAGCAGCTCCTCCGCCAAGTTTGAAGCCGCACTGACCTGGATACTGAGCAGTAACAAGGACGTGGGCATCTGGTGAGTGTGGGCAGGGTGGCGACGCAGCATGGGTGCCTGCAGCCACTGTCTTCGCTCATCACTAACACCCGTGCTCCGACAGAGCTGTCTCAGGTCTGAAGCTGGAGGCTGGGTCTCCCAGCTGAGTCATGTGGGCTAGGATGGAAGTGGGGCAACAGAAGCAAGAACCATTTGGAATGCAGTGTAAGGAGCAGCTTCAAGATGAGACATAAAATCCAGGTGTTAGGATGTTAGCCTGGTGTTACAGCTAAATCCTGCCTCGAGTAACTCAGTCTGTGCCTTTCTCATTCATCAACGCCACATGGTTTGTTGGGGAAGGCATTTTTCTGCACTTTCTCTCCTCGGAAGCTAGTTTTTATTTGCAGATGAAATTATTGTTTCTATATGTTGGTTTTACTCTCTATGGAAATCGCATAAGGAAATACTGGATTTTATTCTGACCAGGCAGTTTCTGCCTCATTTTAATCACTGGTGAGTGCTGTTAGGAAAGATGGCAAACCCTTTCTTGAGGCTGAAAGGCTGTATCTGGCGGCTCAGCCCAGGGGGAGGGCGTGTCAGCCAACAGCCAGGCAGCCTCAGAGACCTGTCCCTTGCTGGAAGAGCAGCATTACCTACCCCCTTCCCACTCTCGGTGTTTGTGGGGGTTTCCATTCAGGTTATAGCTCTTGATATTAGAACATCCTCTAGAGTTTTGTTCTCTTCCTCTCTAATCCACCCAAATTACTAATTCCATCAGCACTGCATCCAGCAGAAGCCCCTCGGGCAGCTCAACCTCAAGCTGGATAACTGGATGCATGGCACGATTAAAATTCGTTGGCTTAAATTAAAAAAAAAAAAAAAAAAAAA